TATATCTATCAGTATCTATCTAGAGTAAATATAAAATAAGCACAAGGTAGTTAAGTACAAGGTAATGAGGGAAGGGAAGGCATTAGCAGTTGGGAAGATCAGGAAAGCCTTCTTACTGAAGCTGGAGTTTGAAGTGAAGTATTCTACAAGGCAGAGGTCATACAAGAGTGCACTTTAGGAAAACCTCGGTTCAAATGCAGCTTCAGACACTTACTAGCTGTGCGACCCTAAGCAATTCACTTAACCTCTTTTTGCTTTAGTTTTCTCAATTGTAAAATAGGGATAATGATAGCCAGGTTTGAAGATGCTCGATATGAGAAAGTTGGCTGCCAGATGATTAGTATTTTGGCCATTGTTATTCAGTCATGTCCAATTCTCTCTGACCCCTTTTGGTGTTTTCTTGGCAAAGATACTGGAGTGGGTATAACAATGCAAAATGAAAATAAAGAATTCTACATCCTAGTGATACCAGTGTTACTTATGCAACTTTGGGTATAACAGTGGGCATTTGTTTTATGCTCCCTCTCCTAGGCTGGGTGGATAAGACTGGCCAGGAGACCTGGGTCCAAGTCCCAACCCTGCCAGTGATCAGTGACTTTGGTTACAGAATCTTAGGGTTGTAAGAGACCTAAAATTTGCTTGTTTGACTAAAATGACACGATTTGATTGAGTTGATTAGCTATGTCAGTAGTCTTGATGACATAATTTCAGAATCTTTGGCTTAAGCAGACTTACAAAAAATCATTGAGATTTAGATCTTAGAGATGGGAAGGATACCAAAAGCATAGAATAGGAGCAAAAGCAATAGATTTGGATACAGGACATCTGAGTGAGTCTCAATGCTGCCATTTGTTACTTATGCAACTTTGGGTAAGTCACTTAAAATTTTGGGGCCCCATTTCTTTATCTGTAAAATAAGGGAGCTGGACTAGATGGCATGAATGGTTCCTTTTGATTTTAAATCTTATGAATTTCAGAAGTCAAGAAGTCATGAATTTCAGAAGTTCAACACTTACTGGAGTATTTTTCCAATTGGAACAATGTAGTCCAGGACAAAGTACAGTGAGACTTACTTCCTTATTCTGGACACTTTTTTTTTCAGGCAATTGGGGTTAAGTGATTTGCTCAGGGTCACACAGCTAGTAAATGTCAAGTATTTGGTCTGAGGCCGCATTTGAACTCAAGTCCTCCTGACTTTAGGGCCAGTGCACTATCCATTGTGCCACCTAGCTGCCCCACATTGTGTTTTTAATAATGCAGCTGAGAATGCTCAATTCAAATAATCTCTTGTCTTTACTTCGATCATATGTAAAATGAAAATAAAGAATTCTACATCCTAGTGATACCAGAAGGTGACAGTGAGATCTGTAGTGCTAGGACTAAGCATGTTATAGTAAAACCAAGATACATATTTACAATAGTAATGATAACATTTTACTCTTATTCCTCCAACAAAAGTAAGTAAATGCTCTGATGTTTCATTGTGGCACAGAGATGATTCTGGATTCTCAAGGGCTATGTCAGCAGAATTCAAACTCTGGCAATTCAACTCTGGCGAGTCTTGTCAAACTGGAAAGGTTTCAAGTTCAGACCTGGTAATAGATTCTATGTCTATCATTCCAGAGGCAGCTTAGCCAAGTGGAAAGTTGCTTAACATCAGAGAACTGGCCACCAGATGATTGGTATTTTGGCCATAGCAACTCATAAAATGAGTAAGGAAAGGAGAAACAACAATCTCGCTCAGTGGAGTGGGTACACAGCAAAGAAAATTAATGGATATTTTCCCCTTTTATCTTCATGAAACTTTCAAGTGGATATCTTTTGTTTATATATCACCTTCATTTCCAGATATGCCCCTTCTCCTACCCAGAGATCCAAGAACAAAATTATAAGAACTTTGTTGTAAGAACAAAGAATAAAAAGATAAGAGAGTAAAAAATTTTTGCAAAACCATCTCATCAGTCAAGTCCAACATTATCTGCAGTGCTCCACACCCACAATCCTCTACCTCTGCAAAGAAGGAGAAGAATTGTATTCTTACATCTCTTCTTCTGGCCCAAGCTTGGGTTAATGCCCAATTACACAGCATTAATTACAATTGATTTCAGTTACACAGCAATAATTGCATAGGATTCAGTTTCATTTTTGCTTTTGTCATTGTTCTTTTCATTTAAATTGCTATAGCCATTGTATATATTATTTTGCCCATTCTTCTTGCTTTGCATCAGTTCATACAAGTTTTCCTATGCCTCCTCATGTCTTTACATTAATTATTTCTTATAGCACAGAAATATTTCATCATGTTCACTACTACAATATTTTGTGGTTTACTCATCCTCTAATTGATGGATTCTACTTTGTTTATGGTTCTCTGTTATTGCAAAAAGTTGCTGCGAAAATATTTCGGTCTCCAAAGTGGTGGCCTGCTGGGGAGCTGTTTTCTGGCCTAGATCAGTGCATGGTAAATTAATCAGAAGGTGGGAGATGAGTTGTAACCCATCTTTCCTTCCACAGCTAATCACGAGGCTTATCCCCAATATAACCACAACTACCATTACCTCCAAGAATTTTCACATTCTGCTCCTATTTCCCCCTTTCTAAGCTGGGAGTCATACCTCAGGAGAGTCATAACCTAGTGATTACCTAGGTACTTATAGCAATAGCTGAGTAGGTGCCACTGGAAAAATTCCCTCCCTCCACCACAATTCAAAACTTACCCATCCTCTGTTCTCTTCCTCACTTTGTGGCTGTGGTCTTAGGGGCCATGCTTTGTTATGTAGGGGAGTGACTGATCAGTAACTCTGCCTTTCCCTTTTTGTTATTTGTAGGATAATATGAATTGCTTAGGATAAGCAGACATGGATGGATTATGATCTGCATCTCTGATCTTATTATATGATTTTTTTCCTTCCAAACCTACTCCTCCTCCAAATTTTCCTAGTCACCCTGGCTTACAATCTCAATGCCATTTTTGATTCCCAATTCTCCCTTATTTCACATATCCAGCTAGTTGCCAAATCTCATATTTTCTATTCCCACGGCATCTGTTTCATCTTTTACTTTCTTTCTGCTTGGTGTTTCTACACCAAGATCTCTCTCCACTCCATTCAGTTCTCAACACAGATGCCAAAATGGTTTTTTTGAAATGAAGATCTAACCATCTTTCTCCATTACTTGACAAACTCCAGATGCTCCCTATTGACTATTGGGTCAATTACAATTTTATCTTTATCTTGTTCTTTTGAACATTTCTATTTTTGTTAAATTTTATAATATATATATTTTTCTCTGCATAAAGTATACACCTATGATCCCTACTACTGGAGGATCTGAGTTTGGGGTTTCAAGCTACAGTAGAGTTAAAGACAATTGTGTTTCTTGCACCAATATGGTGAGATCCTCAAGAGTGGAGGGTTTACCAGTCTTTTTGAGGAGGATTGAACTAGTCCAGATTGGAAAAACAGACCATGTTAAAGCTTCAGTGGAGAGCAGTATTGCAATTGGGCCTGTGAGTGGTGCTGTACTTACAGCTTGGGTGAGATAGGGAGATCAGTTTCATAAAAATTGTAATGTTTATCTTATTAGTATAATAGTACGTGTATATGTTTTTTATAAATAAATGTATATGCATAATTGGTAGTCAGACTTTTTTTTAAGTACTAGAGATGAGTGATCAAAAAAAATGTGAAGACCAGTTTGATGGTTCTATTTTTGCTTTGATTTCCTTTGTTATATGTCTAGCAGTGGGATCTCTGGATCAAAAAGTATGGACTTTTTAGTCATTTTTTTTCTTAGCATAATTCTAAATTCCTTTATATAATGTTTGGATTGCTACACTAATAGCATATTAGTGTGCCTGTCTTTCCACAACACCTCCAGCATTGACTATTCCCATCTTTTTTAAACTTTGCCAATTTTCTGGCTATGAAGTGAAAATTCAGATTTGTTGTGATTTATATTTTCCTTATTATCAGTGATTTAAAGAAATCTTTCATATGATTGTCAATAGCTTGAAAATATTTTGTGAACTGTTTATTTATGTCCTTTGACCACTTATACATTAAGGAATAGCTTTTGGTGTTGCATATTTGTATGTATATGTAATACATATATATTCTTATTCATATATACATATCCTTAAATACATATGTATATACATCTATTGATACTATATATGTCATATATAGTTATGTGTGTATGTATATATATGTGAAGTATCCATATCCATATCCACACACATATTGTCTATCTACCCATCTATCTAATAGGCTAGCACATCCTTCTCAAAGATATCAACAACACAAATCTCAAAGAGATCAACAACTTCTCTTCTTAACTTAGTTGAATTCATTTTGCTAGGGTAAAAGCTTAACAATTTCATGTAATTAAAATCATATTATCTTTTATGATCTCTTCTATGTTCTGTTAAGAAGTCTCCCCTTAGCCACAGCCAGGAAAGGTACTTGATTAGGTTCTTTTGGAATTTTTTTAATGTTGTGATCTTTAATATTTAGACTGAATATCCATTTTGAGCTTATTGTGGGGGTACATTGTAAGACGTTGATTTAAGCCAGGGGTTCTTAATTTTTTTTGGTATGTGTTATTATACCTTTGGCTATTGGGGAAAGCTTATGAACTCTTTCTTAGGATACTATTTTTAAATGCATAAAATAAAATCTATAGGATTCCAAAAGAAACCAATTGGATTTAAATAGTTATCAAAATATATATTTTTTAACAAAGTTCATGGACCCCAGGTTAAGAAACCTAATTTCTGCCAAACTGGATCTTTTAAAGGTTCAAAAATATATTGTTACAAGTAACTCCTGTAGGTTAATCAAAACCCCCCATTTATTTCATGACCACAGTGTGTTAGATGCTGTGTCAGATGCCAAGTTTTAGATAAGACACGGTCCCTACTTCAAGGAATTTACAGTCTGCCAGAGATATTACACTTCATGAATAATTATATGGTAAATGTATCTTTTTTTTTCTTTCAGGGAGACATCTGGACTTGTTATTTCATTGATATAGAAACTCCTTCCAATGAACTCAGAAGCTTGTGGTCTTAGGGAGAATTGCCTGGTACACTAAGAGGTTAAGTGACTTGCCTGTAGTTGCAAAACCCCTTTACCCATTGCATTGTGCTGCCTTTCATCTAGCAAACGAGTTTTAAAAAAAGTATTAGGTGGAGTCTAAGGACTCAAAAACTCCTTACTTACAGAGTGGGGTGGGAATGAGGGTCTTGAGTAAGGTTTCCTGGAAGAAGTGGCATTTGAATTGGGCTTTAATTCATTCAAATGCATTTTAATAGCATTTGTTAAATGCCTTCTTTTTCTAAGGCACCACATCAGGCTCTGAAGCATACAAAGATAGAATGACAGATATTCCCTGTCCTCAAGGGGCTTACATTCTATTGGCAGATGCCACATGTATATTTGTTGTTCAGTTGTGTCTGGCTCTCTTTGAGCCTATTTGGAGTTTTCCTGGCAAAGATACTGAAGTGGTTTGCCATTTCCTTCTCCAGCTCATTTTCCAGATGAGGAAACTGAGGCAAACTGGGTTAAGTGACTTGCCCAGGGTCATACAGCTAGTAGAAAAATCTGAGGCCATATTTGAACTTATGAAGGTGAGTTTTCCTGACTCTGAGCCTGGCACTCTATGCACTTTGGCATCTAGCTTCTTCATCACATGTACATAGTTAAATAAATACATGGTAGTTTGAAGAAAGAATCCTAACCACTTGGCGGGGGGGATCAGGGAAGCTTCACAGAAAAGGTGGCATTTGAGAAAGCTAAGTATTCTGAGAGACAGAGATGAGGAAGGAATGAATCCCAACATTGGAAGGTGTGAGAAGTATGGAGGCTGAATAGATAAGACTTGGCAATTGCTTGGAATGTAGGCAATGAGGGAGAGGGCAGAGTCGAGGATGACTATGATGTGGGAACCGGGGTGACAAAAAAGATCACAATATCACACCCTTAGTGCTATGCCATCATTTTATGAGTGAAGAAAATGACTTACTCAAGGTCACACACAGGTAGTCAATGGCAGAACTAGGATTTGAATCCAGGTCCTCTCTCTATAAAGTCATTGCTCTTTCTACTGCAAGAGATGGGGCTGCCCTCTACAGCAGAGGCATCAAACTCACAGTCTAGGGGGCTGCAAACTGTGGCAAAACTCCCAATTAAAGTTGGTACTGGATTAAAATCTAATTGGGAAATGTTTAACAAAATAAACTAAAAAGTACAACGTAGATAATGTTAATTTGTGGTTCTCTAAGTCAATATTTGGCCAACAGGGATCCATTTCTACTTGAATTTGACACCTTTACTCTATAGAAATAGGGAAATTTGCATGAAGATACATTCAAGGGGGAAGATAATGACTCCTGTTTTGGGCAGTGAGTTTGGCACATCAGGGTGGAGATATCTAGCAGACAGTTGATGATGTAGGACTAGATGTTGGAAAGAGAATAAGCTTAAATATTTAGATATAGAATAAAAAATGGACAAGAATTCAACAGCCAGAATAACAGCAGACATTCCTTGCATGGGGAAGATTACGAGCAAAGGCATAGAAACACCAAAGAAGGCAGGGCGGGGGAGACAGTGCTTCTTGTGAGGGAGGATGGGAGGACAGCTATGGGGGCTGGACCCAGTCTAGTCTCCACTAGTCCTCAGAGGTGTAAATGATCTCAAACCGTAGATATTAAAGTCATTTACATTTGGTTTTAGCATGCATTATATGGTGTTTCTCCCCCACCCTCACCCCTATCAGATTTACCTTCCTAATTATATTTTGTAGAGGCTAATAATAAAATGTGATGGATTCCCTGTGTGTCTGTGAGGGAAACCAGACTGGGATTAAAAATTTGCCCTTCTTAAGCAACCAAGTTGATAATTTCCATGAAGGTAACAGAGATTTGACTGACGAATTACATTTACAAATATCTATTGATCACCTAAATGTGCTCAGCCCTGGGGATGGAATTGCTACTGGTATAAATGAAATGTAAATGGGTGGTCCTTACCCTCAAGGAGCTTGCAAAAATATACAGGTGGCAAACTCACCACGGGGAGTGAGGGACAAAACACCTGAACTCAACAGATGACAGATTGCAGCATGAGGCAGTCTGGGATAAAACGCCAAAAATAAGATCTCTAGGAGCTGGAGGAGAGGGAGTGGAGATAGATTTGCAGTAGCGTGTCCAGAATCATGGAGGATGGAGGACCATGAGCTCCTTGTGGTGAGGTACTGGGTCTTATTATTATTGCATTTCAGATTCTAATGTAACAGTGAAGCTTTCTCTGATTTTGCTTGGGAGGGAGGAGTGAACAGCCCCACCTATAAGCCTCAGTCAGCAACAACCTTGCCTTTCAGAATTCACATAGCCCGTAGTTTTGTAATACTTTATAAATTATATAATCTTATCTATGTTGTGGGTCTTATCCATCAGTATATAGAGTGTAAGTAGCATGAGGGCAGGGACCATTTCTTCACTACATGAGGAACTTAGCATACATAGAAGCACTCAGTGTAGATTTTGGTCTAGTTCAGTCATTTTAGTTATGTCTGACTCTTTGTGATCCCATTGAAGATCTCCTTTGCAAAGATACTGGAGTGGTTTGCCATTTCCTCCTCTAGCTCATTTTATAGATGAGGAAACTGAGGCAAATAGGGTTGAGTGACTTGCCCAAGGTCACATAGCTAGTGAGTGTCTGAGGCTGGATTTGAACTCAGGAAGAGTCTTCCTGATTCCAAGCTCAGGGCTCTATCCACTGTGCCACCTAGCTTCCCGTAGAAAGGGCTTAAAATTCTATGAATATATGAGTGTACTTTAGGATGGTCAAGGAATAAATATTATGTATACCAATGGAGCAAATAAATGATTGAGCATTCAATCAACAAACATTCATAAGCACTTCCTTCCAAGCACTGTGCTCTCTGATGAAGATACAATGACAAAAATGAAATAGCCTCTTCCCTCAAGGAGCTTCCATTCTAGTGGAGGAGGCAACACATACACAAATAAGTGTATACGGTTATTTGTAGTATTGAGCAATGAGAGACAGTGTGGAGCAGGGCAGGCCTTGGAGTCAGAAAGGCCTAGGTTCTGCCATCATAGGTCTGGACACCTCTCCACTTCACTCCCCATCTTCCAAACAAATAATATACAAATAGTCCCGTCTATGTACTGGACAATATATTGGGACAGTTTTTGAAGCAAGTATTATAAACAAAATGTATAGAGTGTCCTAAAAGTCTTACTTCAGTTTTAGGCTATTAAAGCTTAAAATTGCACTTTTTTTAGGACATCTTATACTTTTATAGTGAATCCTAACCACCCCCAAAAAAAAAACAAACCAAAATGAAACAACAATACCAAAACCTAAACTAACAAATAAACATGTTAATCAATGGTCTTCAGTCTTCCTCAGCTTTTAGCTCAGTTGGCTTCTTTAGGGTGTGTGTGGGGGTGGTTGCCCATGTGGGTTATGTATGTCCACATGAGTTTGTCTACAGTTGGTTCACTGAGAGGCAAGAATAATTATCTCTAAAATTTTCTCTCCCTATCTTTCTCCAAAGGAGACTTTGATTCATGCCAGGAGGGAAAGCAAGGGGGTAAGGGCTAGAGACTGGACATTCTCCTCTCTTCAGAGAGAAGGTGTATTGGACTATCTATTTGCTCCCTTAAATTTTGTTAGTCTAAGAAAATAATTTTTAGTTCAAGCTATACTCCTGATCACTATCCTTTAATGGGGAATTCAGAGTACCCCAAGCTATATGTCCAAGACTTGACTGCCTTCCCATCAGACGCCATTTCCACAATGAACACACACAGCAAACAATAAATAAACCTCACTTTTCCAAACAGATAGAAAGCAGAAAGCAGAGAAAATATACATATGAGAAAATATATCACACAACTGTTGTCGTAGTGGAAAGAGCTCTGGGCCTAGAATCAAGAAGACCTGAGTTCAAATCAGGCCTCAGACACTTACTAGATGTGTGACCCGGGGCAAGTCACTTAACCTCTTTGCCTCAGTTTTCTCAGCTGCAAAATGGAGATAATAATAGCTCCTAGGGCTATTGTGAGTATCAATAGAGACAATGATTGTAAAGCATTTAGCACAGTGCCTGGCATATAGTAATGTTAGTAATAATAATAAAAATAATAATAATAGCTGTTACTATTTTATGAAAAGGGTCCTTCAGTATTCTAGGGTTTTATACAATGAGCATAATGCTATCTACAATTTTGCCATCAGGAAGGAATTCCTTTTATATTTAAAAAATTTTTTTATTCCACAGGATATGTTCCAAGATGCTGACATAGGTCTTTGGTGAGCATATTTTCTTGTTTTGCATGTTGTTTGATATCAACATTCAGCCATCACTGAACAAAGTTCAGCATCTGTAATCGCGTATGTCACCGTCTTTACAATTTTAACATTTAGGTGGGAGATACCTTATTTAAGAACAATTTTCAAGACTGAATTTTATGCTTTCACAACAAATGAATGAGTATCTATTTGCTTTTTTAATAACAAGTAATGGTCAGAGTGTAATTGGATATTTTAAAAGTCTCTCTCTCTTATTTTGTGCCCATAAAGATTATGGTCTGCTGTACAAAATAATCTGTGAAAGCTTGCCTGCTTCCTTTTTCAGATTTTCATTGATGATACCCTTGTTACCTGTGTAAACCATTCTGGAAAAGATTTTACAGAATTGAGAAAGCAGAAATATTATTTTATTTTGGTAGCTGCACAGCCTGGTTTTAGATAAATACTTCATATTATTTTTTAAAAAAGTCTCTCTATGCCTATACTTTGTAGAGTTTTTAGCATAAATAAGTGTCGTATTTTGTTAAAGAATTTTTTCCTATATTTATTGAGATAAGTGGTTTTGTACTTTTTAAAAATATGATTAGTTAGGCATGTTGATTATTTTCTTAATGTTGAATTATCTTGCATCTCTGGTATAAATCCAACTTGGTCATGATGAATTATCTCTTGGATGAATTGATGTAGTCTGTTTGACAGGATTTTATTTAAACATTTTGAATGGATATTCGTTAATGATATTGGTCTATAGCTCTTCTTTGCTTTATCTGTAATTGGTTTAGGTAGTAGGACTCTATTTGCCTCATAAAAGGAATCTAGCAGAATGCTTTCTTTCTCAATTTTTGAGAATCATTAGTATTGTATTAGTACTAATTGTTTCAGAGTTTGATAGAATTTTTCTGTTAATCTGTCAGGATTAGGAGTTTTTTTCCCCTTTGATAGTCCCTTTATAGCTAATTCTATTTCCTTTTCTGAGACTGAGTTATTTAAGGTCTCCTTTTGTGTCTCCTGTTAGTTTGAGGATTTTATGTTTTTGAAAGCATTCCCCCATTTCTTTTGCTTCTTCAGTTTTTTTAGCCTCTAACTCTATATAGTAGGTCTGATAATTCCTTTTAATTCTTCTGGGTTTTTAAAAATTTCACCTTTTTTCATTTGCTATTTTGTTGATTTGATTTTCTGCCCTTTTCTTTTTAATCAAATTGACTAAAGGTTGATTAATTTTATTAGCTTTTTTCAAAGAAACAATTTTCAGTTTTAGTTATTCATATATTTTTGTTTCCAATTTGTCTCTTTCTCCCCTAACTTTTAACATCTCTTCTTTTGTGCTATTTTAGGTATGCTCATTTGTTGACTTTCTAAGTTTAAAAAATGCATATTCAGTTCATCAGTCTTCTCTTTTTCTATTTTGTTGGGGGGGTAGTATCTTAATATACAAATAGTGTTTTAGTATTATTATGAAAAATTTATTGACCTTATTGAAAAGGTCTTGATGACCCTCATGGGTCTATGGGCCATGCTTTGAAAGCTGTTGGTGGAGAGGAAAACATTTACTTCATAAACTTGTGTTACAGATGTTTTTAAAGAGAGTGATTACAGTATGTTTTCTTAAGGGTCCTCTTACTTCAGTGGTGCGCCAGAGCCAGTTTAGACCAGCTGTCAAGAGCTAATTGTTAATTTTTCAGTGTGAGCATTTATACCTCAAAAATCATCAAACACTACAAATCAGGGTCTGAGTTATTGTTTTATTTATTGTCTAGACTTAAGAAAGTGATGGAGAGAAAGTTAATAATGCAGATTAAATTGAAAAGTGTATTAGGTGTGCTTTTAGAGAGCTAGTTCTTAAATATTTACTAGAACACCACTGGCTTACTTGGTTGCTATGTGTGGATTGGGGGTGGGGTCAGGTGAAGCCCATCCTGATAGGACTAGGACAAATCAATTAAAATTACAGGAAGGGATGACATGAGCACAGTGCTAGTCCTTAAATAAAGTTACTGGATAGAAGGCTGTCTCACCTCTAAGAAGGAATTGTCCACATCAGTATCCTGGATAATTTGGCTTGGTTGTTTCCCTTTGTGTATGACTTGGGGTCAGCTAGCTTGCTATGCGACTATGGGCAAGTCATTAACTTTTCTGGGCCTCCATTTCCTCAGGCATAAAGGAAAGGGGCAAGATTAGATGATCTTTAAGTTTCCCTCCAGCTCTAAAATGCTTTGTTACTTTGAAAAATCTGGGATCTCATCCATGCTGCTACTCTCTCAAATAATACCGATTTCAACCCATCTATGTCATCTTATCCTGGTTGGTTCTTTTCCATATCCTAATGTAAACTTTCCAAAGAGAGTGTAGCCAAGGTACTCTGGGTATTCCTCTAAATCTCTTGACATTGTGTGGAGACCAGGATTTCTATGAGTTTATTTTTCACTTCATTGCTTCTTGCTATTTAAAGAGGTTAAATTGATCACAATCTTCTACCATCCTCTGCAATATTCTACAAGTGAGTTTATATTCTAAACTGCTGTTGCCTCTGACTTCCCTTTCTCTGGATGGGGAAGATCAAGTGTTCATTATCTGAGGTGGTTTCTAGGCTCTTCCTCAGTGTGATGATTGATTTACATTGGCTAATTTTTCTGAAGAAATCATTGGGAATTTGTATTGATGTCTATTTTTGAAAATCCATTTAAAAATCAGCAATAGCTTGTTAAAAGAGGTCAGGTTAGAATTGCCAAGCCAAATAGTTGCATACTATATCTTTTCTTCTTTGTTTTTTCATCTAATTTGATACTGGTTTTGATCTCTGCTTTAACTAGTTGGTATTCTGACTTATATACACACACAGCCAACTTGGTAATGACTATTATGATGCAGGGGGGGCTAGGTGGGGCAGTGGATTGAGTGCTGGGCCTGGAGTCAGAAAGACTCCTCTTTCTGAGTTAAAATCTGGCCTGAGATAACTACTAGCTGTGTGATCCTGGGCAAGTTACTTAACCTTGTTTACCTCAGTTTCCTCATCTGTAAAATGAGTTGGAGAAGGAAACAGCAAACCACTCTAGCATCTTTGTGGAGAAAACCCCAAATGGGGTCATGAAAAGACTAATCAGCAACAATTATGATAGTAACCAGTTACTTCCTGACAAAATACCATCTCTTCTTTTTGAGTGATTCGATTTGATACTCACCATATCCAGTGCTTTCTGAAACTCTTCTCTAAGAAAGTGTTCATGACACGTAGACGTACTACTTTTGTTTAGTCTGTAAGCCTTTGTTTTCCCATTTTTCATTCTGGAATCGTGTTTTCATATTTTTCACTATTGCCAACCTTTGCATTGAAGTCACCAATTATTATTATATAAAATATATATTGATTTGACTTTCTCTACCTTTTCATACTCTGAAACAGATGTTGAAGCATAAGTTGCAATTATTTTCTTGTTAGTCGTTTTGTAAATACTTATCATGAGCACACAAAGTAGTGTAATCAAGTGCCCCATGAAATGATGTTTCTTGTCGCCTTTGGATACAATAATAATAATAGCTAGTATTTGGTGCTTTCAGCTTTGCAAAGCACTTTACAACTATTATCTGATTTTATCCTCACAACTCTGGGAGGTAGATACTATCATTATCCCTATTTTACAAATGTCTAACCAACTATTGATGAGTCTCTCTCTGTACTCAGCTAGTATGGTCCTAGGAAAGCAGAAAGCCTTTTGCTAGGACTATACTTGCCAGCTTTGCTAGCATAGCACTTAAGAACCTAGAGCCCCTTCCTTGCTGGTATGAGTCATTGCAACAAGACTTCTATCATTTTCTAAATTCAAAAAATGGAAAAGGGATCCCTTGATGGGATGTTCACTTTGGAAACACATATATTACATTTGATAGAGAAGTCTCCCATCACTTTCTTGGATCTCTGAATTCAAGTGATGTCTCATTGCATACCATAGGCTTTGGGGCAAGTTAGATCTAGCAAATGTTTTCTAGCCTAAGGGATACAAATAACTTAGCAGTTAACTAACTTTCCTTCCTTTTGGGACTTCCTATTGCCAGATTCTATTCAACTTGAAGGGCAGAATGGACTTAAACTATATGGAAGAAAAACCAGAACTTTCTGGGTAGCAGTAGATTAAACCACCCAAATTCCACTTCAATGAATCTTGAGACCCGCCATCATGTGGGTGTTTCAAAAACATTATTAGATGGTGACCTGGGAACATGATTCTAATTTCCTTCTGGCAGGTGGATTATTTTCCTAAATTTTCTCTCTTTTTTTGGTCTTTTAAGAGACCATGACTACCTTCTTGCTCAATAGAAACTCTAAATGCAGAGTGCAACTGAAGGAAAATTACAAACTTCACTTTGCAAGCCCTAGGTGGTCATAATCTCATGCTAAATCTCATACTAATCAGAGGTAGGCAAAGAACATTCAACCAGCCTCTCTCTATCAGGTTCCCCCCAACAAAGGACTGTAACTCAGCTTTGAAATCCCCACCTTGCTCCATCAAGTCTGGCTTAAAATGCTCAGTAGGAGTGTCTTTTGAGCTTAGTGAATTGACTGTGAAATGAAGAGAGAAACAGGTTGATTGAAGTCGTCAAAGCTGAAAGCCTGTTTGAACTGGGATGTGTCCTGCAGAGAATTTTATGAATATGCAGAACCAAACAGGAACTATACTAGAGGCTAGAGGGAGTCAGCAAAAACCCTATTTTAAATCTCAGCCAGTGGAAGCACACGTTTCAACTCATTAAAACACATAGTCTGTTAGAGATACTTAAAAAAAAAAAAAGAAATAATTCTACTGAGTAACACCCTGGCGGACTTTTCCTCTGTTTTTTTTTTTTTAAAGAAAAATTTCCAGGGACAACTCCAAGTGTTCTGCTGCATGGTTCCCATTTTCAAAGGGCCTGAGAAAGAGCACAGGGAAAGTTTTCCTAAAACAGGATGGCAGATCAGATCTACTGTCTGCGCTTTCCTAAGGAGCTTTCCATTCCCTTTACAAGCC